TTTCTTGTAAATCTGCACGTCTCCTTCTCCCTCTCCCCGTCATTATTCATCAAAACGACTCACCCTTAACGCCAGATAATTTTATTTTCCACTATCCCAATTAATCCAGAGAGTTGAGTGTAGATAACTCAATCATGGGTAAGTAATCCTTGTTCCAAATTCGTCGCTCGTGTGGTTCCAATAAATGAATAATTCACATGATGATCTCAATTTGCAAGTGGATTTCTATCCCACTTCTGACACCAATGTTACAAATTGTAGACAATGAATAATTGACACGTTATTAATTATGAATGGGGCGGACAGTTTATTCAAGAAGACTCATTTGACAGTACTCATCGAAAATCCTCATTTATAATAACAGTAGAACATCACTCGATAGTCATCTCTCTGCCAGCTTCATAGACGTTCTTTTTATTGGTTGTTAATTTAGAGATTCGAAGGGGGAAACGTAACAGTATGAACGGAATGTCATTTATGAGAGATCATGTAAAATTCATTATGAATTGTGGTGGCTACGTCTCTGTACAGCGGATCTGTGGTGCTTCCTGTGGAGATATGTTTCATATTCTGCACTTAGCACCTTTACTGAAGAAACTTGTCGGATTTGCAGATGAAGATAAATGCGTAATATTATGCGCCCAAACATATACGTACGAGGGACAGACACCCGCTTCATTATCACGAGGTCTCCCTCAAAGTATGTACGTATACTCGGATGTATGCGAAACCTATATAACCGGTGATGTACACACCCCGCTAATGCATATTGTACCATTAGATATTGATAATTATAAATACGGGGGAATGAAAATCAAGGTATTTTCACCACCACTTTATATACCATTACTACGCACGAACTTTCAAACGATCGAGATAGATATAAGAGATGAGTATGGAGCACCGATACCATTCGAACACGGAACGTTGACTGTGACAGTTAATTTCAAACGCACTGAATAATCACGGATTATGAACACCTACATTTTCGATGAGATTCTACAATCAGGGAGAGGATACAGTACAAGTGACCATGGGGGTATAAGTCGTGTGTACATAGGTAGTGCTAATAAAAAAGGACATGGCATTGGTAGTTTCCTCGGTGGTTTGTTCAGAAGAATACTACCACTACTCAAGCAAGGAGCATCCGCTGTCGGAAGAGAGGCTCTGCGTTCAGGTGTGAATGTCATAGGCGATGTTCTCGAACGTGATATACCTCTGAAAGACTCTCTAAGAAGTCGTGCACGGTAATCAGGCGTCAATTTGAAGAAGAGGGCAGAGGAGAAACCTGATACTTTGATGACTGGTTCTGGATATAACGGTGGGAGTATGTTATCATATCCTCATTTTACGGTCAACCGTACTCCGTGACAGTCTAAACGCCGCAAGTTAACATCTGGAGGAGCCAAGAAGAAGAAACCACGAGTGTCGAAAAAACGCAAGAGGAAAAATACGAAGAAGCCTATAAAAATTAGAGGTCGGAAGAAGAAGAAATCACCCAAATTACGAACAGTGGCAGATATTTTCGCTTAAAACATGGCGTTCTTGCATACTCATGCGTACTCATGCATTCATGTGAGGGTGTGAAAAGTGAACTGGAATTATTTTCTTTACCTCCAACGCAGACAGCCATCGAGTCCTCATATGATGTACACTACAAGCCAATAGCATCACTTGTGGATAACTCACCCATCGAGTTCGATGTACCAGGACAAGGTGATGAGTACATTGACTTAGCTCATACACAGTTATTTTTACGTGTTACGATACCAACATTAGTGACAGAAGAACCCTGTACCTTCGGCTACTATCGGCCCCATCAACAACTTATTACACTCATTATTCGATCAAGTGGATATTTCCTTCAATCAGAAAGCCGTGACGCCTGCCAATAACGCATATGCTTACCGCGCTTATATAGAAACCCTTCTAAATTATGGCGCCGATGCGAAAAACTTGCACCTGAGGAGTGTGTTGTGGTCAGATGATACAGCTGGTAAGATGGATGACGTCGGTGAAGGTAACGAGGGTTTAAGGGTACATAGGGCTTATTTAAGCGATGGGAAAACAATCGATCTCACGGGCCATTTACATTGTGATGTGTTCAATCAGGATCGAGTATTGTTAAATGGTGTAAATATTCATATCCGATTGGTTCATTCAAGAGACAATTTTTGTTTAATGGATAGCACAAATAGCCCATTCACCATTAAAATAACAGAAGCTTCGTTGATCATCCGGAGAATGAAGGTGAGTCCTGGATTATTATTATCCCACCAAAGGGCCTTATCGAAAACAACAGCCAAATACCCTGTTACAAGAGTTGAAGTCAAAAGTGTCTCAATACCATCGGGTGTTCGTGGTCATTCCATAGATAACTTTATAACAGGATAGCTGCCAAAACGCATCATTTTTGGATTTGTCAAGAATCGTGCATTTGTGGGTGATAAAAAATTGAATCCCTTTAACTTTCAACATTTTACTCTGAATCATATATCCTTATATGTGGATGGGCGTCAGATACCATCGAAACCTCTACAGCCAGCGTTTACTGTGAATAATTTATATGTGGAGTCATACCATTCCATCTTCTCAGGCACTGGTATACATTTTCTGAACGATGGTAATGGTGTTCACCGTAGAAATTACCCTCATGGGTATTGTCTCTTCGCATTCGATTTAATACCAGATTTGTCAGCTAACGATAACTCACACTGGAATTTGATACGGAGCGGTAACATGCGCATCGAGGTACGGTTTGATGAAAGCTTAGTTTCAACGATCGACGCTGTAATTTATACTGAGTTTGAAAGTGTCATAGAAATTGACTCAGCGAGACAAGTGACCCTGGACTATGCATAATCATCAAAATATTCGGTATCATGCTCAGCGCATGCGCAGTTATTTTTGCAGTATCAGCAGTTTTCTGAAACAATGGATTTGAATCGCTGTTCAACTGTACAGTTGTGTATGAATATTCAACGTAGAAGGTTGAAAGGAGAGCATAGCAATGGCCTGCAGTAATTCAGATTCGGCAGCAATTATTCATTACGAGGGTTTCATCGGAATCCACGGTACATTCGTTCCAAAAGAAGTGGCGGTGACCTCCACATCCTTCGACATGATAGGACATTGGGTAATTTGTCCTGAATACCAGTATTCTGCGATTCCACCTAATATTCAGAGGATGAACAATCAACTTACAATCACACGTCACGGTATAGATTGATATGAAGGAGAAGCATCTAAATATGTCTATGCATTATCACGAGCCGTTACCAAAGGAATAAAATACGTGTATACCTATGGTTGTGAGCAAACGAAATTCACTGCTGCTCTTCTTACTCGAGATGTTATCAATTTGAAGGGCCACATCAGATCGCCACTATTCGCTTGTACACCAGTAGCTGTTCCATCATGCCTCATACATAGTACATTGAATCACAGAACCTTTATATGTGCTATGCGTCGAGTCCTTCAAATCAAAGCGTGGTTGACTTCGAACGAGGAAGGATTAAAAAGTTTATTCAAAGAGAAATTTCCTGCTGATGAACACAGTACAGATTCTAGAAGCCCTACAGTATATACCGAATCATACAGTCGGTGTATATCCAGCGGACAAGATCCCATCGGCGTGGACGAAACCGACTGCAATAGTAGCGAACACACATGACCACACCCAACCAGGAGAACACTGGATCGCCATCTACGTTGATCGAGATGTTAGAGGATGGTACTTCGACAGCTTCGAACTACCTCCCATCGTGCCCCAGCACGCTGCAAGGCTCCGAAAGAACTGTAAACTCTTCAGGTGCAGCATCCGGCAGCTCCAGCATCATGACTCGAGTATATGTCGACAATACTGTGTACTTTTTCTGCATTGTATGGCTATGTTTGCTACTCCTGAGAAGTTCTATTCGTTATTCACCGATCGATTCATATCTAATGATCGTCTAGTGCGTGAATATCATAATGCATTTATGAAGAAAAAATGTAAGTGTCCCCGAGGGGAAGTTATTTAGTGGCCGCGGTTATAATTGTACGTCGTGGAATCAAAAATGTAAGTAATTTATAAGAAAAATATGTAATTCATGGGGACATTATTTTGGGGAAAATATACATGTAATTAATAACTGAAATTCTGTGTTTATTTCCCCTGTATGATAGCTGCTATGACGCACCCACAGCATTCACAGTCACTCCCACCCCACCACTCGCCCGCGTCGGAGTCGTGCTACTCTGACCGGTGCAGTGGTGGGGTCGGAGTGACTATGGGTGGACTACTTATTGATCACCATACACAGGTCCATACAGAGCACCACCACTTTGCATCGTTGACATACGTCACAATAGTTGACGAAAGACACCACGTCTCTAAACATATTCGGCCAGTAATATGCGGTATAGATACGGCGATACGTTTTGTCGACACCCAAATGGCCTGCTTGGGGAAGATCATGACACTGGGAAGTAGCTTGCTGACGTAACTCCCGCGGAAGTACGAGCTTCCACGCGTCGAGGTCAACCATCTCTAACGTGACAAAGTCAGAGGGTCGATAAGTGTACAACCGACCATCCACGATCTTCCAGTCGAGGAAGAAGTCGGGAGCGCGCTGGACATTCCGGGACTTGCGCGAATACCACTTATCGGTGGAAACAGTGGCAACTTCGATAGTCTCGAAGTCCTCGCTTTCACCCTCGGGTGCGCGGAATAACGCATCAGGGACATGATGGAATGCCCCTTTACGATGGATGATCTTGAAATCATACTTGAGGAGCCCGAGAGCCCATCGAGCGAGTCGACCAGTAGGGTTACGTAGGTTAACCAGCGCAAGCTACTGTGATCTGTGATGACCGTGAAGGAATACCCCTCCAGATAACATCGGAACTTTGTGATGGACCAAATGACCGCAAGATATTTGAGCTCTGTCACGGTATATTTCTTCTCAGCGGAAGTGAGCGCCCTACTTGCGTAGGCGATAACACGTTCCTCGCCGCCAATGACCTGTGTCAGCACGGCACCCAAACCTACCGTACTGGCGTCGGTTTGGAGAGAGAACGGTAACTCGAAATTCGGACAAGCCAACGTCGGTGAGGACGTGAGATGCGTTTTCAGGGCAGCGAAAGCGATGCTTTGGGCCTCCGCCCATTCCGACGTCTGGTTCTTACGCGTCAAGCAGGTAAGAGGCTCCGCAATGGTTGTAAATTGCGGGATAAACCTTCGGTACCACGAAGCCATACCGAGGAAGCGCCGCAACTGTTTCAAATTCCGTGGTTGCGGGAATTCGGGATTCTGGTCAACGACCGGCGGGAGCTCCGGCCGGGGATAAACGACGACATATTAGGCCATGGTGCTTTGACTGCCACGAGCGCGGTCACGCGTTCCCCCAATGCCCACAGCCCACAGGGGACCTCTTTTGCGGACAATGCCCGTTCCGTCTGATAAACACGAACATTTGTCCCACGCACGGTCTCGTCGAGCACCCAGCGGGTGGTCGCTCCACTAACCGTGCAGGCGGCCCAAAAACCCGGTTACCCCAAAAACCTTTAAGGCTCCTGCTGGGCAAGCCCAGCGCACCGCCAAGACGACTCCTCTAAAACAAGGGGATCAGAAATCGGGCCAGTCACGAGCCGGGACCTACAGCGCAGAGAGAACCCGCCATCAGCAGGGCAGAAGCCAAACTAATTCAGCGCCGACCACACAGCCGTCCATCCCTACCACCACCCTAGCTGAGCAGTCTACACCGTCCACAGACGGATATCAGAGGGTGCGACCGGCCCCCAGCTCAGATCTCAGGTTCTTCTGGACACCAGAGGCATCGAGCCCGCCAACCGCCACCGTCAATCCCTGGGCTACAACCAGGAATCCTCAGCAGGGGTACTACTCGACTGCAGCTGCTCAAGCCCCAACTTCAGCGGTGTGGGCCTCGCACTCATACGTGCCTCCATCGGCACCACCAACAGCTGCCCCGCTGCCTCCAACACCAAGCCAGACCATGCCGGCCGTCACACCGGAGATGATGTCCCTCCTCCAGCAACTCGTTAGTCTGCAGCAGCAGGCAGCCGCCCAACAGGCCCCAGCACAGCAGCCTTCCGGGCCTCCAGGAGAACCCCCGGCCAGAGCCTGGGGCACCAGGTATCCTCCCCGTTCTTAAGCGGTGGTACTCGACGACTCGAGTCACAGACCGGGTCCGTTAGATCTTATATTCTTTTTTTTTGTTATTTGTTTTTCCCGATAAGGCTACTAACGGCCGACACCATTTTTGTTATTTAGTTTCTCGAACGAGAACCAAAGAAGTGGACGTAATTTTTTTTTCTTGACCGATCTCTCTAACGGCTGAAAGCCGAAAAGTTTCTGTTTATTATTAGTATCCTTTTGTACTTTTTTTTATCGGCGAGAAAAGCCATGTTTTTTTTTTGTTTGTTCATGTGATAATACTGACAATTATTCTAGTACTTTTTTATTTTTCTATGATCATCTCCGTCAGGTACGGTGGAAGGCGACACGAGAGTAGAATGTTGCTCACAATATATGTAGAGATACATTTTTTTTTTACTTTGAGTCCACTATCCCACTCATCATGTTAGGAGTGCGGCTAAGACTGAATACTTTATATAAGAAATATACTGGTTCTGAGTCCTCATACTTATTTGAGAGTTTTCTTCCGACCACTACCTCAGGGTGTGGGTTCGAGTACCTTCAACAATCCAGGGACGAGCAGAGAAGGACGCCCCCATCATCTACCCAGCCACAGGTCCATCGAGAGCAAGGCACACCCGGATAAGGACAGTCAAAGGAGGGAGTGTAACGAACATGTGGGGATGTCCGTTAGGAACACCACCGAGACCTGAACACAACGACAGGAAAAGTCTATCCGTGACCAATTAAGTAGGGTGAGAGAGAGAGATTTTTGTTTTCCCACTCCGGTGGAGTTTTGAGTATAAGTTATCCCATTCCGATGGAGAAGTTTTGAGTATAAGTTTTCCAATTCCGATGGAGAAGTTTTGAGTATAAGTTTTCCCATTCCGATGGAGAATTTTTGAGTTTCGTTTTCCCATTCTGATGGAGAATTTTTGAGTTTCGTTTTCCCATTCTGATGGAGCATTTTCGGTTTAGTATTTTCCCACTCCGGTGTGGTAAATTTTGATTAGTTCATGATCGATAAATAATTTTTGAGGGCCCATAATTTGATCGAGACGAAGGGCCATATTTAGATTCCATCGGTCTTTTTGTGGGAATAACCCTTTTATAACTCTCGCGGAAATCACATAGGATTAATTGAAATATTAGCGCTCCAGAATTTTAGTTGGATATTACGGGGTAAAATGGGTTCTTTTTTTGAGTTTTGTTGGAAGGTCACTTGGGGTAAGCGCAACCCTTAATCCCGGTGAATTGCCTGGTTGCCTTAGAGTTTCGGGGGGAAACGTTTATTCTATTTTTTTTTGTAAAATAACTATCCGTAATTAATTATTAATTTTGCCTCGTAAATCCCGGAGATTTGATCCGTGAGACGCATCTTAAATTTTTAGGATCGATTGAGCCTCCATCCGCTCTAAAAATAATTTTTAGGAATTAATTTGATTTTATTTGAATTTACGCATTCGAAAATCCCCGAATTTATTCGGTGGCTCCCTCGAGGCTTACACCTCTGAGGAGAAAACGTCTCTACCAATCAGAGCCCAGCGTGGTTGGTCGGAAGTCCCGAGGGCCCGTTGTGCCGCAGCACTGACCTCCGAAATCAGTTGCGCGTTGACCGTCTTCAGTAAGTAGTCGCGTGTGAATTTCTGTGTGCCCATACAACGCAACTGCGCAATCTGGATTATTGTGGGATTATTCTGTAGCTGCAAGGATCCAGGATGGTCCGAAAAGGAAAAAGGACCGTGAAACATCAGAAAACAGTGAGTTTTTTGGTATTTTTCCCCCTAATTTCGAGTCAATTTCAAATGGCGTCTTTTCCCCTTCATGGCAGTATCCCTCGCGTGGCCCTCAACCACGTGCAGTGGTTGATCACCTCCCTTTATTCATACTTGTTGGTCCGAATTTTGCATTTTTTGGGTATTATCCCTTATTCGGTTCTTTTTTTAGTTTTTATTCCGGTTTATCCCCATCATCTTTTGAGATGATTTTGGGGTTTAGTGAGTGTGTTTGTCCAGGATTGGAATTCCTGTCTTTTCCCAGTCGAAATCTGACGATATCCGACGTGGGCTATTTCCTTCTCCCTCGCTCCTATGGCGAGGAGTATCGTTAGTTCATCCTACGTAAAAATTACGTAGAGTTTTTCCCCTCGCGGCACCCCGCTAACGCGCCTACAAGTGGTGGCTATCGCTTTCCGTAAGTGTTCCGTCGTTTAAAATTCCCTCCGGAGGTAAATTAATCCGGAGAGGTCCCCAATGATCCCAAAATTATAATTTTGGTTTCATGGGCTCCGCTAGACCTTCCTGAGCAAATTGGCTTTGAGTTTTTGAAAATTGACTCTGCCGATTTTCCGCTATGGCGAGTTTAGTTTTAGCTAATTTTTATTTCCGTGCGCCGTACAATATGCGTGCACTGGTTAGTTCATTTTCTCGCTCTCTCACTCTCACGGCGATTGGCATACCTTCCCTTCATTTCTCGACATTCTCGAGTATTTCGGGATTAATCGATCATTTTTTATTAAGGTAGCGGAGGCAGTTTCTAATCAGTAGGTAGTACTTGATCACTCGGCTATTTATTTATTAAGTGCGAAGTTTGAGTTGATTTGATCAAGAAGGTAAAACCAACAGTGCAAAGAATAAAATCCCTGCTTTCGCTAGTGATCTCAATTGCGGCAGTGGTACCACTGTAAACTGTCAAAAATAAATGGTAAAAGCGCGCGAACGCGGGAAACGGCTATTTTCGCCGTTTGCTTGTGGAATGAGCTAAGTGTGTACGTGAAGCTTCAGCACTCAAATTTTACCATGTAAGTACCGAATGATCATAAATATGATATAAATCTCAAGTTAAATCTTAGGAGAACAACTCAGAATTATAAAAAATAGATAAAAAAATTATTTTCAATAATTACTGTGGTGATCAATAACTGTCGCCTGAATTCTAACCTGTCGGTATCTGTTGATCGGAAGATTCATGAGTTGTCAGCTCGGATTAATTGAGGCCAACTGACAGTTTTTTAAGAAAATGTCAGTTTAATAATCTGTCAATGTAAATATTCACCTTATCTTTCTCTCATGGTGGTAATTATCGTTGTTGTAACGATGAAAATAGTATCGAAAAATGGTGGGATGCCACGAGTTGATTTTCATTGAATAAATGTGAAATTTAGGCTAAAAACTACCTCTGATTATTTATTAATAATAAAAAAAAAGATTTAATGATCAGTTAGAGATGAAACAAGTAGGAAATTAAGTCATTATTCTCCTCATCCCAATGATCAGAAACTGCCTCCACTCGTGATCAAAAACTACCTCATGCGACTAAATCGTGATCATAAACTACCGCCAAGGCGGAATTTTCTTAATGTTAATTTTTTATTAATTATTTGATATTTGTAGCTCAAAAGTGGATTTTTAATTGATGTTAAATGTCTGTTTTACACTTTAAACGAAGTTTCACTCCGTTTTTATTTGCTGTTTTCTCATTTTTCACCTTAACCTGAGCCCGCAGAGCTTAACTGATCAGAAGCTGCCTCCGCTACCTTATATATTATTGTGAGGGATTTGATGACCTCACCTACGGTCGAGTTAATCGAAGTATTACTGTCGGACTATATAGTAGGCTTTAAAGTATCATTTCCAAGCCAGTATTTGTTATTTAATCAGTTATTGTTATAAACCTTTTTTTTGGTAAGGTCAATTCGAAGAGAAAATCATGTAAATTAATAATTTTTACAAATTTCAAAAGTAAAACACGTAAGGACGATGTCGATTTCTTCTCTTTTTTTGTAGTTCTGACCACCCAATACCCGTCTCCACCTGAAATCCACCCCTCTCTCCACAACCTAGCACACTGAGCGAACCAAGGACCGTTACCTTTCCCCAGAAATCTAGTTTTCTCCCTTTTTGAGTAGATTTTTGAGTTTTTTGAATTAGTTAGAATTAATTTTGTAGGCTCCTCCGGTTTGGTAATTCCGGCTAAAAATTACCCGGCGCCCATAGATTTTTGTCTTTTTGAGTTTAACTAGATAAAGGGGAAGAAGGGCGAAGGTAATAGGCATTTTTGACCCCCATACAAAAATGCCTATTACCTTTGCCCTTCTTCCCCCATGCTTCGTTGACTCGATCCAGGGATCGGAAATCCTCGGTAATAACCGGATAAATCTTATAAAAATACATTCTCAATGAGTTGACTCACTGGAAGGATTGATTGAAATGATTTAGGTTATTAACTCGTTCCTCAATAATAAAAAAATAAAAAATAAAAAAAATGGGAAAGGTCCGCAACCTCTCAAAGATGGAAAGAGAAAAAAAAATCGATTGGAACCGATAAAGTTCCGAAGCGCCACGCCTAAGCGTGGGACCCAATAGGATTCAAAAAAAAAAAAGAAAGAAATTCGACGAGAGTCTCAAACGAGTAGCCGGAAAATTGAATTATTTCCACTTAACTCCACTAATCCAACGTCAAGCCGTGAGGTGAGGACGTAATACATAGTTAATCCAAGTAAAGTCTGGATAAAATCCAAAGACGGCAATATACACTCCGAAGTAAATCACTAAAAACGAAAAAAAAATTCGAGGTCGATAACTCGAAAACTGAACTACTCAGTGTGATTACCGGAAATCGAAAGAGGATCGGAGTAAGGCGAGAGCCTCCTTATATACCACTGGTCCGGGATGGGGGGTTCATCCCCCTCCTAACCGTGGACGAACTCTCCCAAGAGGGGAGGATCCCAAGATATTTCTCCCATAGAGCTGGGAAAATTACGTACAGTAGGGATCACGTGGTCGGTCACATGTTCCCACCTAGCAACAGGCGGTTATCGTTAACCAAAACTCTCAAAAAATTTTCCGCTTGGCTGCTACCAAGAAAACTCGAGACAAATAAAATTCCTTCTTATTTGTCTCGGATTAAACCTAACCGATGACATCATTGTGATGTCACGTAATCCTCAACCTCAACTATCTCTCTCACTCCAAGGAGAATAAATCGGCCTAGTAATAGGCGAAAATTGACATTTTA